AGACTGACTTCATTTTAGAGGCAGCACCGCGAGAGTGCCTGCCGTTTGGGGACCACGAACTGTGCCCGGCGTTACGTAACGGTCCGGAGGTGCCCCCGAAAACCCCACGGGCGCCGCTTTGGACGAAGCCGTGCTTGCTTCGTCTCGCCGAAGAGGAGCGCGTGCTGCCCAGGGGGAAAGCTTCCCTCCGCATTAGCTGCTCTCCTGGTCGCCTCCTTGGCAGTCCCAGAGGTTAAATAGATAAACCAATAGTAAGCCGATGCGTCCCTTCGCCGTTGGCAGAAAGGAGGACGTGTTTCCTTACATGCAAGTTCTGGAGTTTCAAATAATCTTAATAATAATAATAATAAAAAGTTGATGAGGTGGAAGGACAAGTCCAGGAAAAATCAAAATTGAAGAACTGATCTGTATATTGGCATAAATCACATCCTTATAATAGGAAAACAAGCGCTGGAAGTAACATAAAGCCAATTACTGCCCATTCTGCTTCACTTGAAACGGGTCGGGGGGGGGGAGGAGGAAATGAAGGTTTTCCTAGCCACCGACACATTCGGACAGAAATTAAAATGGGCCCTGTGCTCATCATGTCTTGGCTTGGAGAACCAATTCTCGGCGTCTCTCCTAAGGCTTGAAAGACGGAACCTGGAGCGCCAGAATCTAAATCGGATTAAGAGTGAATGCCCCTGTAGGTGATTGCAATAGTATCACTCCGGTCAAACGACTTCGATTTAACGGGTTTGTAGACATCGTGATGATAATTGAATATATTCACTACTTAGTTTCTAGTGGGTTATAAAACCTAATCGCTCGAGGAAGACCAACCGGTTTCTATTAACCCATAAACATTGGCTAAATTTTCCTAATTTGTTGTTACGGTTTTTATAAGACCACACACGGCCTTAGTGGGCTGAGTGCGAAGGTTCTCTATGTTGCTTTTCTTCTTTTTCTTTCTTAAAATGATTTTTTTAAAAAACTTTTCGAGAAAACCACAGTGTAATTCGAGAACCTTAACCACCAGAAGTCCAATTTTACTTCCCTGAGGAGGGTTAACTAAGGGGGAGAGATCCAGGCTCAGATTTCCCATCGGCTTCAAGGCTCAGCTCGGGAAGTCCAGGGATGGCCTACCTCACAAGGTCGTTTTGTGCTGGTCTGTGGGGCGATCTCTTTTTTAAAAAAAAAAAAATTAAATGCAATTGATTTCGTTGGTGTTTATTTCCAAATTGTGTTGCGCTCCCTGGAAGGAATAATAGCACAATTCTATGTAGGTCGGCTCAGAAATGCGTCCCACTGAGTTCATAGGAAGCAGAAGTGTGATCCCCGCTGAGTCCCCCCTCCAGAGCCTAGTTCCAGCTTGAGACCCCCCCCCGAGGAAAAGCTGGAGACTAAATTCCGTGTCAGTCACGGGCGGCGCTTCCGAAGGATCCCTGTCGAGCTTCTTTCCACACGCAGGCAAGCCTCCTGTCCCCCGGCATCAGCGCTGGGATTTCCCGGGCTCCCCATTTCCTCCGTGTGGGCGTTTCTGGTTGAGGTGGTCGCCTCTGAGGGGTGGGGGCTGCATGAGAAGAATCCCCTGGAAAGCTCCGGCGGCTGTACCCCCCCCCCGGCTCCCTTTTCCTGAAGTCAAGCTGAGGGACGCGCCTCTCCAGAGGAGGCTTTTGGTTCTCAGGCTGGCAGCCGGAGAAGCTCCTTGTGGGCGGAAGGCCAAGGTTGGAGGGGAAGACCCTCTTCAGGCGGAGGGACAGGGACGCCTCGTTTCCTGTCGGTGACCGCGGGGTGCGAGCGGCGGGAGGGAGGCCAGCCCAGAAGCGAGTCCCAGGGCAGCTGCCGGGCAGGCCGGCCCGAGGAGGAGGCCGGTGTCACGCGTCGCTCCTCCACACGTCGGCGGAACAGTCCGGAGGGGCCCCCTTTGGAAAAGGCACCGGGGAGGGCCTCTCGGAGAGAACCCCTGGAAGATGCTCAGGGCCCTGGGAGGTGTTCCGGTCCTGCCAGGAAGGGGCCAGGGGAGGACTCCTCATAAGTGGGATCTCTCCGAATCCTTCCCTGCCCTTCCCTCTTTTAGATCTCTGAACTTAGTTATGTTCTAGCCACACACACACACACACACACAAATTTAAACTTGGATTTTTAAATCGTCGGTGTAAGCTCGTTTTAAATCCGTATATGTATTTAAGATATAAAGATACATACGTATATATATCTTTTTTTTAAATCCCGTTCGTTTTAAATCCGTATATGTATTTAAAATATAAAGATACATATATATCTCTCTTTTTTTAATCCCATGTTTTTATGAGACCTTGGCCTCAGCTCGGGAAGCAGCGCCGGATTTTTGGAAGCGAAAGGCCAGGGAGGGGAGGGGAGGGAGGCGCGCTCACCCAAAGGGTCGAAGGAAGGCGCGCTCCCTAATCCCACCCCACCCCCTTCCTGACAACCCATGAGCCTTGCGGCACCGTGACAAGCCTAAGTGATGTCAGTTTCTCCTCAGATCGACACCGACTCTCTGGCGGTACAATAATTCCATGTAAGGCCATTTGTCCTTCTATGATGATCCCGCCCTCCCCCCGGAGTCAGGAGCATTTTTAAAAAATGTTCCCCTAGATGTTGTGGAAAGGGGCGCTGAGAGAGGGGGGGCAGGCTCTGAGACCAGAAGCCCCTCCGTCTGCGCGCTTGTTTCCACCGGCTTTTCCCGTTCTCCCTCTTCCTTCAAGGGCAGGATATGTGGGGCAGGGCCCACAGCATTTCCCAAGGATCTTAGGCTCTCGCTCCCCGGAAAAGGGGGTTGCCCCACCACAAGCCCTGGTCGTCTAGCAACCCATCGCGGCTGCGGCATGCGCAGCGGAGCGTTCCTTTATCAGTTCTGCCTGCCCGGAGAAATTAAAACGATGATGAAAAAACTCATCGTTCCAGCCACCACAGAAGGGACGAGCCGCGAAACGGTCCATTAAGCTCCGATCGGAGCTATTTATAGGAGAGAAAGACGCCCGGCGGAGTTCATGTCGCCCCCCCCCTCTCCGCCACGTCGGCTCCAAGGCAACGGCTGCGGGGCTAAAGGGTGAAATCAATTGCAATTCTGGTGCTTTGTAGACGCGTCTTAATTCCGATTCCAGAAATCGGCCTTTGCCGCTGCGCTTTCCTTCACCTGCAGTGGAGGAAGAGGCCCCTCCATCTTCTTTCTCACAATTTCAATATTCTCTTGGCATCATCCTGTGTTTTCCTTACAGCCCGATCCTACGGATGTTTGCCCAGATTAAAACCAACCACCCAGCTAACCCATGGCGCTCAATGGATCTCAGTCGCAAAGAAACGCGCGACATCCTGTAATTCTTTGGCTAGGAATAGATGCACCATCCAGCTCAGGGTAAGTTAATTCCGGGTAGAAGCCGACCCGGTCGGGTTGTTTACCCAGAACAACAAAACAACAACAACACGAAAGCCAGGGGAGAGAGGCTGAGTGGAGCATGGACGTCCTCCCGTTCGATCATCCTCACCGAGGCAGGAAAGTGTTGTCCAGAAGCCTAGGGAGGGACAGGTGGACAGGCCTGTTATCCGCAAATGAATCTCTTGCTGCAACGGTGCGATCCGACGCTATATTATTCATGTGCACCCACCCTCCCCGCCCCGTTTTCTTTCTCGCCTTCCTTTCAGGGGGCCGGTAAAGAGCCCTGACTGCCAGCCAGCCCCTATCTCCCGGGCTCAGCCGCCTGATGAATGGCTCTTTAATAAGGCTCTCGTTAATCTTTCTCCCGCAAGAGATCCGTATTTTCTCTGGCGATAAGGTTGAAAAATTCCAGACAGTAGCGAGAGGTAGCCAAGCCTCTCCGCTGCCTTAGGCAGGCCGGCCGGCAGGCAGCGCTCCTCTCTCTCCTCTTATTCTTCCTCGGGCAGCTTCGACCGCCCCGCCAGCCAGCCAGCCAGGCAGGCACACCCCCTTGGGTCGCTTGCCCAGCTTTTACGAGCTCGTCGGAAGAACCAGACACCAGCATGGTAAAAGATCGCCAGCCTGGATCGAGGAGTGAATGCGCGGTTGGGCAAACAAGCAGAAAAAAAGGGTCCTTCTGCTCGGGGGCAAGACAAGAAGAAAGAAAATACTTCTCTCCACTGAGGGGCAGGACAATGAACTGCATTACACACGGAGAAACACACGGCAGGCACGCACTTCACAAACTCCCCCAGCCACCCCGCCACTCCGACTTTGCACCCCTGTATGGCCCTCCGGAGCTCCCCTCTGCCAAGAACAGATTACGAAGGACAAAGGAAGGACTCCATAAATGCAGGCGCTCCAGAGCTTAGAGGCTCGTCCACCGGGTTAACGCCCGCCTGGCTTCCCATACTTATTCCTTTTGGCTTTCAACATCGGCTGCTACTCGAGGTGTTTCTCGAGCTCCGGCGGGTCAGTTAAATTCAGGGAAGGAAAATAGCTGATCGGTTAAATTCTACCTCTAGCTGCGCTTGGCCCCGGTTGCTCCCCGCCTTTCAGACAGCAGATGGCGCAAGAGCCCATCACAAGGACTTGCCTTCCTCGTGGATGGTTGGGGGTCAGGAAGCACAGAGGGGGACCCCGTCCCCCCTCCTCCTAATCCTCCCCTCCCCTCCACCTCCCTTTCTGAAACGAATTTGGGGTATTGCTGCTTGTAGCCTCGTTAAAGTTCACAGGGGGGAAGGGAGGGGGGAAGAGGAGCAGCAGCAGCAGCAGCAGTGTCTCCTTGCAATTTCCTTCCAGTTTCTGCCTTATCTGAAGATAAAAGAGATGCCCTACTTTCTTTGTGTTTCAACCCCGTCGCTTTAAATCCTTCCAGAAAAGGGAGAGTTGGGTTTAGAAGAGAGACAAAAGCTTCTCAGTTGATTACGGGCTCAAGATAAAGCATGAGGGAGGAGATTGGGAGGGGTGTGTGTGTGTGTGTGTGTGTGTGTGTGTGTGTATGCCAGAAAGAGAGAAAGAGAAAGAAGGAGAAGGGGAAGAGGGAAGAGGAAACCACATTTTTTTGCGACTTTTCACTTACCACAAATCTTGAGCCCGATTTTCTTCGTGCAGCCATGAGCCACCCCACACCACGTGTCATAGGCTAGAAAGAAGAGACACGGAAGGTTTGTACTTCACAGTAGGGAAGGAACGGGGTGCACAGATTAATGTACAATCCCTCGCTAGTTTATTCTGTGCTGTCAAGTCGAAACGACTTATAGCGATCCTAACAGGGCTTACAAGGTAAGTGAGATATTTAAGGAGTGGCTTTATCAGTTCTACTACCCCCAATTAGTTTCCATGGCGGAGTGGGGATTCGAACCCTTTTCTCCAGAGTCCTAGTCCGTCGCTCTTTCCACTACATCACACTGGGAATCCATGAATCTGATTATTCCCCTTTCAAAACTATGTTAATGGCCGGTCCTACATCTCACAGAAGCTAATTCCACAATTTAAGTATACACACTAAGAAAAAGTACTTCCTGTTGTTTGTTCTGAATCTCCAACTACTTAGGTTCGCTGGATCGTCTGCAGTCTCTCCTATTATCAATATTCATACAAGTGAGTGACATACTGATTTGGGCCATAACAACGTATTTCCTGTCATAATTAACAAAATCTTCCCTCCGATATCTTACAAAGAGATACACTTTCATAACAGATACATGAGCAAATGCTTCTCTAGCTTTTCCATATTAGTACTGTATTTTATTCCCAATATACTTTGAGAAAGATGCAGAAATGTAAGCACAAAAGGATTATAATTCTGCAGTGTGCATATATATTTTGCAGTGTGCATATATGTATATACCAGATTTGCCTCTGAAATCTCGAAATCTTCAACACATGAACGAAACCTAAGAGTAGCGTTCACTGCTCTGCTAGTCATTAGAGAAAGCTCACCACAGGGTGATTACACAAATTGATTGTTCTTTCTTTCTTTCTTTCTTTCTTTCTTTCTTTCTTTCTTTCTTTCTTTCTTTCTTTCTTTCTTTCTTTCTATCTATCTATCTATCTATCTATCTATCTATCTATCTATCTATCTATCTATCTATCTATCTATCTATCTATCTATCTATCTATCTATCTATCTATCTATCTATCTATCTAGAACCTAAGTAGTTGATAGATAGATAATGAAGAATATACTGTAATTGCATAGGGATGGAAATCTAATTCATGACAAGTCCATCCACCTTAAATCTACATGGGTGTAGCTGCTATAAGCAGAATGTTAGTTGGCTCATGGTACCCTGAAGAGAAGAGCCAGGATCTGAAAAAATAGTATAGAGCAGCCAGTGCTCTATGCTGAATTTCTTCTTTTTCCTGTTTTCTATTACCACAAAAAGTGTGCTTTTTTACCACAAGAGCTATAAACTTATATTTGCATATTATTTTCTCCGTAACAGTGTTATGTGGGAAGCTTTTAATAATCAGTACAAACAAAGACATTATTCCAAGTGCTCTGTGATTATTATGAACCCTTTGCATGTCCACACAAGCTCTGTAACAGATCCAGGAGCAACAGAGGCCCAAGGCCCAAGGCTGCTCTTAAGTTCTTTATTAAAGATCCTTTCCATCATCTCTAGCTCCCCAACTTGTCATTTCCGTGATCCTGAAGCAGGATCAAACTGAACACATTCTCTTCTTTCCATACACCTGGAGTGTGTGTGTGTGTGTGTGTGTGTGTGTGTGTGTGTGTGCGCGCGCGCGCGCTCGCTGCTGGAATCCTTGGGGAGAGGTGGTCACAAAGGGGTGTGTGTGCGCGTGCACGCTCGCCGCCCGCGCCTACAGCAGCTTAGCAGCAAGGCGTCACAGCGGCAAAATGGGTCTTATCAGGAAGAAGGCAGGAGAGACAAGCCAGCTGGAAGAGACCTGTCTCCTAATAATTTATTGGCAAAGCTCCAGGAAAGTGGCAGCTTAAAATAAACTGGCATGAAATGGGGTCATGGAAGAGTTCAGGAATTAATTGGGTGAAAAATAGTATTTGACTAGATGATCGGACTTGCATGACTAAATTGCAGCTGGAATGAGGAGACATATTAAAAGGACCCTCACATCCTCTGGGTCCCCTTCCCCTCCTCCTGCACAATTCTCTCCTGCCCCAGTCCCAATCAACCCTACCCCACTGTGCAGGGGAAGCTGGCGTGGCGCTGTCCAGCTTTTAGGGTTGCTGAAAGCATGGAAGGTGCCGAGGACCTTCCGTCGGCCCCAAAGGAAGCAGCTGCAATTGTCCTAGAAGAGGACAATGTCTGCTTTGCCAGGTGAAGACCGAAGAGGAGCAAGAGGACCCACTCCTGAAAGGAAATGAAGGCGTGCGGAGGCGAGGGCACGCGTGCACACACACCCTTTTTATTTCTCCGTTGGAGACCAATGCTTCCTCTTGCGGAGTCTACCCAGGCGTTAATTTCCACACCTGGCTAAGCCTCGACGAACGAATTGGAGGCAGGGGGTGAAATGGAAGAGAGAAGGCGAGCGGGAACAGACAAACAGCCGCACCCGAACAATTTTTTAAGGGTTGGCAGAATAAGACGACTCGACTCTATAGACAAATCCTAGAAGAAATCAAAAGGGAAACAATCAGATTTTCCCTTCAGATTCCTGAAGAATGGAAAACAGCTTCTCTGGGGTTCGCTGAGGTTACGGTGCTAAGGGAAGAAATCCAGGAAGGGAACTGGGTTTGTCTGTTTGGGGGAGAGGGGGAAATAAATCGTCTCCTGGCATCTTAAAGCCTAACAAACGAAGTATGTTTTTGTAGACTTCAGTCCGCCTGAGCAGATGCCAAGGGAAGGAAGTCCCACTTAATTCAATGAGATTTATTTCCGTGTATAATTTTTGACAGCAGGTTTTTATATTGGTCAGTATTGAGGATTGTGAGACATCCGGATCCTCACACACACAAAAATCGTATGTAGCTGTCACAAGGAAACTTAATATTTTATTATGTAACCTGAACTTGAAGGGAGGCCTAAAAAAGGTTGTATAGCATGACACTGAACAAGTTGTTTTGAAGAGAATTGAAGGCAAAGCCAAACTTGCTTAGAACGGCGACGCCTCTTCAGAGAGGAATTCAGCCTGCCTGTCGCACATTTGTGAGAAATTCTGCACGAAATCCATGAGCGAATTTTCAGCCAGGTTATCGCACGCCGGGAAGAAAACAGCAACAGAGGAAAATGGAAGTGTGTCTGTCGCCATGTCAGAACTATTGAGGGTGGACGAGAAGAAATTCCTACAGCCACTTTACAAACCACAGAGAGAGAAAGCAGACTGGGGCTGAATTATGGAAATCCCGCACCGTATTCTCTTCCTATTTCATTCTCTTAATGAAGCCAGAAGTGTAAACAAAGCTGGGTCTGCAGTGAAACGATTGCTGGATGGAAGTAGAGAAAGAAAAGGTGTAGATGCTAGTCCGTAATAAAAAGCTGTATCCTGTGGAGAGCGGGACTACTCCGGAGCGAGAGGCTTAACCTTTGCAACTGGATCTTAGTTGTGTTCGATTGAAAGTAAGTCCCGCGATCTACTTGGTGGCAACCATACAACCGGCTTCCGTGCAGCTTAATCGGATAGTAACACTCCCAGAGAGACAAGCGCTTGTTTCCTCTTCAATGCCGAGGGATTCTAATTTGCCAGCGCCAGTTACTGACCCACGTTCTCCTTTGGCAAAAGGGGGCCAAAGGTAAAACGAAACGGGCGTGGCTGTGAGGTGCGCTTCGGCCCCGCTCACTCCAGGTGGGTGGGTTTGGTTCCCAGAGGCCGAGAAGACGCTAGGGGGCGTGCTCAGCAGGCAGA